GATGTTTTCTATGATAAACAACAGTGCTCTTTGGGCAAGTTCTCACATAATCCTACACCCCCAAATAAGATGATCCATCACATGCCTAATAGCTCATATCTCATTACTTAATGATTTTGAGGTCTGGTGGTCACAGGCATAACTTCTTATCAAAGAGCCCCAGGTGACCAGAGACAGTCTGGGCAAGATAGAGTGATTTAGGCCTACTGATGGTACACAGGCTACTCAGAGACTCTTAGCCTAGGAAAGGAACTCAGAAGTGATGCATGAAATTTTTCTCGTTTCTTGAAACCCTTTAGAGTGTTTAAGTACCACAAAGGATGAGAGACATGATAGTGGAGTAGAAGATGACCCCTCTGACTTGAATTCTGAGCTTGCCCTCTGCTTCCAGGTAGTAATGTGAGTGTAGGCGATTTACCTACATGGCCCTTAGTTTCTTCATCTGTAAAATTAATTGTAAGAACTTACACGTGTGCTAGGTCAGCTTGGTTAAGGTGGGAGCTTAACCAAGTGTCCCGGTTCCTGTGTGGTTCCAGTTTAAAATGAGCAGAGAGGACTTCCCAGGAGACCCGGGAGACAGAGTGAGGCTGCGGCTGTTACCTTCTGACAGATACAGCGACATGCAAGGGAAACTTTTGTCTAGAAGTTTCTGTCCCCCTCCACTCTGTACCAGCTCTTCTTCTTGGCCAACAGAGCCCGGGCCCACCACCAATTGCTTGGTGGGGGGCTCACAAAGCAGCAGCTGCACAAAAACAGCAAGTCCTGAAGACCCCCTTCATGGTCCCACTTGCAGTGGGCTCCAGGCCCTACTTGGCTTCTAAAATTCTCAGAGAGACTAGTTTGTGACCTTTTATCTAAGCAACACCTCCTTCCAGACCTTCACTTCCTCGACTCCTGCCCCAGTTGTGTGAGACAGAATGCCTGTAATAAATCCATTATCCCCTCACACAGCCTTTCTTCCTCTCTGACCAAACCCATGTCTCCCCAGTGGCATTTAAAGCTTGCAAAGCAATGCATTTGCTTAAATCTCTGCAAAAGGTATTCCCTGGCTTACAATCGGTTACTTTACTTTTGGAAGAGAAGGATAATCAGGGTTAGGCCCTATATACATTCCCACCACATATATTATTCAATCTAATGTACATGTGAAAACCTGTGTGGTTCTGCCACGTGCAGGTTAAGTGCAAAGAAAAATAACAAATTGGATTTTCAACAAGCAGCCAAGCTCTTTTCTTCTTCCCAGGGGTGTTGCTGTTGTTGTCTTAGTAACTCCGGAAATTCAAGGAGACCTAAGATGTTTACTTTTCAATTAACGAAAGAAGAGAGATCCCTTTTCGAAAGATTTGCTTGCTGCTTCATTTCTAATTGCGTTGGCTGCTGAAGGAAAATATCTTCCTAGGTTTCAATTTTTTCCCTTAATTTTTATAATGCCTGGCACACATACGCTATTTATTTATTTTTCCAGTGGTTTAAATGTCTAAACTGTTGGAGAACTGAAATGAACGGAACCCTGGCGTAGATAAATTTATGCTGCCTGCTGCTGCTGCCAAGTCGCTTCAGTCGTGTCCGACTCTGTGCGACCCCATAGACAGCAGCCCACCAGACTCTGCCGTCCCTGGGATTCTCCAGACAAGAACACTGGAGTGGGTTGCCATTTCCTTCTCCAATGCATGAAAGTGAAAAGGGAAAGTGAAGTCGCTCAGGTCGTGTCCGACTCCTAGCGACCCCATGGACTGCAGCCTACCAGGCTCCTCCGTCCATGGGATTTTCTAGGCAAGAGTACTGGAGTGGGTTGCCATTGCCTTCTCCAAAATATATGCTACTTAAGTCTAATTCTGTGACTTGCTCACTCGATGATTGTGCCTTGAGAACTCTGTTGTTTTAACACCTGATTCTTGTTAGCCCGGGTGAGAGACTGGAGACAGGGGAAGTCATGCTTTCTGGGAGCATGTCTCCCCCTGATGGTCATTCATTAGTACTACAAAAAACTGGAATGCCTTTTGGGAAACAGAACTCAAAACCAAAAAACACCCTTTCCTTTGTAGATATGGTGTGTTTTTAAAACACCTGTCCATTCCAACACATCTCTTTTCTACAGAGACAACTGGTTACACTGGGATGGTTGCTGGTTCACTTGAGTGTCTTCTGATAAGCATTCTATCACAAAGTGGTCTTTTCTTAAAAAAATTTGAGATATAGTTGATATACAATATTATGTAAGCTACAGATATACAACATAGTGATCCACAAACTTTAAAGGTTATACTACATTTATATTGTAAATGTCAGTTAAAAAATATTGGCTATATACCCTGGATTGTACAATATAAACTTGTAGTTTATTTAGCAATGTTTTTGAAAGCTTTTTCTGCATTTTCTAAGACTGAAGAGGAATGTATAATCAAGATGACCAACACCCTTCTTTTCTTTAAACAGAAGAAAACCTCTTAAGAGAAAATCCTACCCCAAGCAAATATTTTTTTGTCATTCTTTTATTCTTACTCCTGTGGTTGTATCTAACTGAGTGGGTTCTCAGCCCTGTCTACATATGAGTATTCTCTGAGCAGCTTTAAAAACTATGGATATTGGGCCATACTTCCAAATAATTCTGACTCGGTCTTGGCCAGGGTGTTGGTGTTTTTAAGGCCATGCAGTGACTGCAATGTGCTGCCAGGGCTAAGAACTGCTATGTGTCACTCACTGTGGTGGTGCTAAGGATTTGATGGCAGGGACACAACTCTGTCTCCCTCTGACATCACCATTCCCAGGCCACACATACTGTTCCCTGTGTCTGAAACACTCCCCTTGTTCATTGTATAATTAATTCCTCCTCCTTTGCATCTCAGTTAAATATCACTTACTCAAAAGCATTACTGCTCTTCCATCTAAATTAGGTCCTGTACTGTTTGCCCTCATATAACATCTCCCTTCTTTTCCTTCATTAACATTTACCCTAGTTATAATTACAGGTATTCTTCCTGTTGCAACTCTCATAATCAGAACTCAGGACCAAACAGATTTTGCTAATGAGGAAGAAAAGGTAGATTTCCCTGAAGGAAACAGAGTTTAAGCATCAGGGCCTTTGTGTCGGCTGAATAACATTTCCTCCAAAAGTGTCCCTGTCCTAATTCTCAGAATCTGTGACTGCGCTAACTTGTAGGGTAAAAAGAACTTTTCAGATGGGGCTAAAATTAAAGATCTTGAAATGGAGGGACTGGTCTGGATTATTCAGATGTACCCAACATGATCCAAAGGCAGGAGCAGTATCAGAGTCAGGATACATGGTTGGAAGCAGAGGTCAGAGAGGAGGAAAGATGCTACACTGCTGATTTTAAACATGGAATGGGCCATGAGCCAAGGACTGTAGTGACCTCTGGAAGCTGGGGAAACAAGGAAATGGGTTCTCAGAGCCTCCAGGAGGAATGCAGCACTTCTTACACTTAGCAGTCTCTACACTTTTTCAGATCAAACAAAAGCAGATCATGAAGATGGAAAGATTCATTTGAACAGAAGTAATGAATAAGCTGTTGGATTGTTTGTTAACCAATTAACAAAAAAGAGGAAATTGTAAGAACACACTGGAGAAGGTTGAAATTCTTTGCTGATTTCACATAATTTACTGGCATCAATGAAGATATTATAAACTCAACACACAAACTCAAGGAGAATATCAATGACAAATTGGTTAATAAATGTTATCAACTCAAAGAATATTTAATATTTATGATAGTCACTGCACAAGAAAATGTGAAATGTCTGAAATCTTATTCTTATGTGAAAGAGATTTGATAGGGGCTTTCTCAAATTTGACAAAAATCCCAAACATTTACGTGACATTTCCAGGAACACACTGTTAGTAATAGCCCTTGAATGGATGGATATTCCCCTAGAAGGGAAGGTGGATTGGCTGGGTGAGTATGCTAAAATTCAAGGGGAAAGAGGATCGCTGTGCAGGGCAAGTCTTCTTGGCTACAGGACTGGAGTTTTTGGTAAACTTAGGAAAAAAAGTTACAGTAAATGTACTTCTCGCCACCCACCATCTTTATAGTTTTGGTTAGACATGTTGCATTTCCTCTAAGAACTGTAAAAAGTGGGATGTGAGTATTCAAACCCTTTTGGAAAAAACTTAGGTTTGTATTTGAAAATTAGAGCAGCTAGTTGCTATTACTAATACATTCTTACCTGAAGGTCAGCAACTATTAATTGATGCTTACAACTCTTGGTAGATCATGGCATCTAATTCCATCGCTTCATGGCAAATAGATGGGGAAGAAGTGGAAACAGTGGCAGATTTTATTTTCTTGGGCTCCCAAATCACTGCAGATAGTGACTGCAGCCACGAAGTTAAAAGACTCTTGCTCCTTGGAAGGAAAGCTATGACAAATCTAGACAGTGTATTAAAAAACAGAGACATCACTTTGCTGACAAAGGTCCATATAGTCAAAGCTATGTTTTTTCCAGTTGTCATGAACAGATGTGAGAGTTGGACGGTAAAGAAGGCTGAGCACCAAAGAATTGATGCTTTCGAATTGTGGTGCTGGAAAAGACTCTTGAGAGTCCCTTGGACTGCAAAGAGATCAAACCAGTCCATCCTAAAGGAAATCAGTCCTGAATAGTCGTTGGAAGGCCTGATGCTGAAGCTGAAGCTCCAATATTTTGGCCACCTGATGCGAAGAACTGCCTCACTGGAAAAGACCCTGATGCTGGGAAAGGTTGAAGGCGGGAGGAGAAGGGGAGCAGCGGAGGATGAGATGGTTAGACATCATCACCAACTCAAAAGACATGAACTTGAGCAAACGCTGGGAGACAGTGGAGGACAGAGGAGCTTGGTCTGCTGCAGCCCACGGGGTCACAGAGCCCGACTGGACTTAGAAACTGAACAACAACAACACAGCTCTTGGTAAGACTCTCCTTGCCTGTGAAGCAAGGATGGGATATTTGTTTAGAAAAAGACTTGAAAAGTACAACACGCTCCTGGACTCAGACCTACGGAACCTTTTTCAGTTTTCTCTTCTCCCCCGCAGCAGTTTTCCTCCTTTGCTTAATGATTCAGAGCTGGTCGAGCCGCCAGTGCGACTTCCAGCCTCAAGGGGGCGCCCCAGCCGCGGCGCAGTGAGGCCGCTCTGGCCAGCAAGGGCCCCGCTCGTCTCAGTGGCCAGCCCGTCCCCTCCTCTCCGTCTGTTGCCGTCGCCTCTGCCGCGGTCGCCGGGAGGAAGGTGGTGCTGCTGCCGCCGTTCCTCGACTGACTGGCAGGTACTTGGGCCTCGGCCCGCGGGCAGCCCCGGGATGAAATCCACTGACACCTCCCCACGATGGCCCCGAAGCACCGGAGGGCCCGGCTTGGGGCCTGGCCTAGGGACCGGAAAGGCGAGGCCGCCCGCGGAGAACCAGACCCGTGGTGGCCGGTCTCGGGTCTGTGCTGGCCGGGGGAGCTGGGAGGGCCGGCGCGGGCTCTGGGGGCTGATTTGAGGGTAACGGCCGCGCGGCGGGCGTGGCCGGGGCGGGCGGCCTGGCGGGGGCCCCCCGGGCCGGCGTCCCGTCACTCCGCCAGAAAAGGTGCGCTGTCTCGGCCTCGGCACGGACAGTATGCGGCCAGTTACTCGGAACCCGCAGTCCAGGCGTGAAGAGAAGCTGGTGAGATGTGAGCGAACTGTCCCGATATGACACGGCCCCGGGTACCTGGGTTCAAAGACAGGACTGCTCCTAATTAAACGTGCAATGCAGGAGGCAGATCATATTGCAATACAGGGATCTGCCTCGAGAAAATGACATTTATTCTTTAAAACGGCCCACGGTGCTTAGAATTGGCTACCGAATATAACGAAGGGGGGAAAATACATCATTTAATAGCATCACTTCTCATTCTAAAGAATGGTACCTAGGAGCGTAAAGAGCTCGGATAGTGGGGTGGGAATTATAGTAAGAGCAGGCTTCAGTGCTTACTATATGTTATTGTGCTGGATGCTTTAAGTCATATTGTGTCTATATTTAATCCTTGTAGCAACAGCAGTGGGTACCATTTCCATATTACAGATAAGGAAACCGAGGCACAGAGTCTAAATTAACTTGTCCCAAGGTCAAACAGCTAGTAAAGGATTTGAACTTCATCTCCTTACTCCAGTGTTCCTGCTTGTTACCTATACAAACCTATTCCATAAGACTTTTGTTTACTTATCAATTTGACTTGTAATAGGTTGGTACAAAAATAATTGCGATGTTGGACCATGAATTTTAAATCATTGTAACTAGGCGCCAGCACATCGTTATTAATCAAAACAGAAACCATTACAATCAACATATTTTTGCCAATGAGATGTAAGTTTGTTTATTCCTATAGCGTAAAAGTGCGTACTTTGGGATTCCATGAACTCTTGGGAAGCATTTTCTGCCTCCTGCTGGTTGTGGATGCGTTTTGCCTGCAAAAAGTTGTCGAGATGCTTAAAGAAGGGGTAGTCACTTGGCGAGAGGTCACGTGAATACGGCAGATGAGGCAAAACTTCATAGCCCAATTTGTTCAACTTTTGAAGTGTTGGTTGTGTGACATGTGGTGGAGCGCTGTGAGGGAGAAGAACCGGGCCCTTTCTGTTGACCAGTGGCAGCTTCAGGTGTTGTAGTTTTTGGTGCATCTCATCGGTTTGTTGAGCATGCTTCTCAGATGTCATGGTTTCGCCGGGATTCAGAAAGCTGTAGTGAATCAGACCTGCAGCAGACCACCGGACAGTGGCCATGACCTTTTTTTGGTGCAGGTTTGGTTTTGGGAAGTGCTTTGGAGCTGCTTCTCAGTCCAGCCACAGAGCTGGTTGTCACTGGTTGTCGTATACAGTTGACTTTTCATTGCATGTCACAAGCCAATTGAGAAATAGTTCATTATTGTTGAATAAGAGCAGATGACACTTCAGAATGATGATTTTTTTGATTTGTGGTCAGCTTGTGAGGCACCCACTTACTGAGCTTTTTCACCTTTCCAATTTGCTTCAAATGCCAAACAACTGTAAAATGGTCGACGTTGAGTCCTTTGACAACTTCTCCTGTGGTGGTAAGAAGATCAGCTTTGATAATGACTTTCAGTTGGTCGTTGGCCACTTCTGATGGCCACCCATTATGCCCCTCATCTTTAAGGCTCTCATCTCCTTTGCAAAATTTCTTGAACAACCACTGCACGTACGTAGTTAGAAGTTCCTGGTCTAAATACCTTGTTGATGTTGCGAGTTGTCTCCCTGCTTCTTTATGACCCATTTGAACTTGAATAAAAAAAGAAAAATCGCTCAAATTTGCATTTTGGCTAATGTCATTTCCATAGTTTAAAATAAATATAAAATAAACAAGTAATAAGTCATTAGCAAAAAACATAAAGCAAGAAATGCATGTTAAAATGATGTATAACATAACCACATTTATTTAAAAATGTATTCCAGTATCATATAGCCAATTTCAACAGTGTAAAATTGCAGTTACTTTCACACCAACCTAATAGCTTGAACTGATTTCCCCAAGGTTTAATTTTCATGGCTGAATGCAAGTATCCTGTACCAACTCCTCTTTAGCTTTAAAGGGAGTTTAATTAGAAAAATGTTTGCTTATTAAGGAGTATGGTGATAATAAAGTTAAGCATGGACTGGGGCCCTCACACTCTGATACAGTTTGATTTGAAGTAGGGTTTATTTGGTTGTTAATAAGCTTCATTACTTTTCATCATTGTTTGCATTTTGATACCATCTTTAGTGAATTCACTTTGTCTTTGTAATATTATGACAGTGGTGCTAAAGGGGAATGAAAGATTTGTCCATGTGATGAAGAACCCACCTGCCAATGCAGGAGACATGAGACGCGAGTTCAACCCCTGGGTCGGGAAGAGCCCCTGGAGTAGGCCATGGCAACCCACTCCAGTATTTTTGCCTGAAGAATCCCATGGACAGAGGAGCCTGGCAGGCTCCATAGGGTCCATAGGGTTGCAAAGAGTCAGACATGACTGAAATGACTTAGCACGCAAATTAATATTTTAGAGGATGTAGGGAAGACATTTGAAAGACTGTAATAAAGAGGAATTTAGGAATTTGGGGTGTGTTATTTAGAGCAAATTGTATTACTTACTACATGGAAGAGAAAGGCATTTCCAGTTCCTGTAAAGTGGTATTTCCCATTGTGGAAAGAAGTTGGATACTATAGTGTGCTAAATCACTTAGCCTTATCAGGATTTAAGAGTTTGCATATTCAGCACTCCTGTAGCAGATGTATCCGGAGTGCCTCCCAGAGCCAGGCGTGGTTCTGATCCCTTGGAGATGCAAGAGGAACAATACAAAACAGAATTCTTGTCCTCCTGGGGCTAACATTACACTGGGGAAAGGTGGGGCTGGGGATGATAAATAAAATACTTTTTAAAAATTAAAATCTATCCAGTCAAGTGGTCATAATTGCTTAGAAGAAAAATGAAGCAGTGAAGGTGGATAGGGAGATCCAGGGAAGGAGCAGAAGCAGTTTTGAAATAAGGAACAGCCTCATAGAGAAGGCTCTTGAGTAAAACCTGAAGGGGTCAGAGACAGCCTTGCAGCTTGTAGGGGTCGGGTGCACCAGGCAAGGGCACAGGCCCCGAAACCGCCAGGCTTGTTGGGGGACCAGCGGGTTCGAGCAGAGGAAGGGAGAGCTAGGTAAGGTCTCGAGCTCGTCTGTCCCGGTGAAGACCGTGGCCTTTCCCCTGAGTGAGCAGGGCGGTGGTTGAAAGAGGAGTGGGGGGGCCTGACTTAACAGGTGTCAAGGATCACTCTGGCACCTGTGTTCAGAACGGATAGTAGGAGCAAGGATGGAAGCAGGGAGCCCAGTTAGGTTGGGTCAGTATCCAAATGAGAGATGATGGAGTTTAGACCCAAGTGGTAGCAATAGTATAGTAAGAAGCTGTCGTTCTCTAGGTATGGCTGACGGGATTTGCCGATGGATTGGATGTGGAGTATGAGAGTAAAAGAGGGAAGGATGATGCAAGGCCTTTGGCCTAAGCTAGTGGAGGGATGGAGTTGCCCTTTACTGCCATGGGGAAGATATGAGGATGAGAGAGATGGGGAGGTTGGTGGAGCAGGAATCAAGTTCAGTTTTAGACTTGTCAGGTTTGAGATGCCTGCTGAGGTGATGTTTTATGAGACTGGAGTTGAATGGAAAGGTCCCAACTCAAAATAGAAATTTAGGAATCATTAGCAAATAGGTAGTATTTCAGGCCTTGAGATTATATGGGATCTTGTCTAAAGAAGTGAGTATTGAGCTCTGGGACTTTCTTTGCATGTTCAGAGTTTGGAACCACAAAGGAGACTGAGAAGAAGCCTTTGATTTGACACATCACAAGATGAGGACTATGAAATGAACATTGGACTTAGCAATGGGACGATCACTGGTGTTGATGCAAGAGTACTCTAAGAAGAGTGGGAGAGAAAATCTGATTGGTGTGGTTTGAAGAGAGAATCGAGGGAAAGGGATTGGAGTTGGCAAGTGTGGACAGTTTTTAAGAGGCGGTTAGCTGTAAACTCTTATTTGAAAGCACTGCAGTTGTCCTCACAGTAAATAATTTTATTTCTAGCTCCACCTATTTAGCAGTCAGACTTGGATCACTTTATCAATGATTGGTGGAAGTAAAGTAGCTATACTACTATACTGAAGATGATAATGTATTATTAACCTCCAAAACCCACACGCACAAGAGCTTGTCCTTTTTACATAATTCATTTCAGAGCTCATAAAAGCCCTTTGGTGAAAGATGTTCCTTTCACCAAATAAGATGTCACTTATTTTTGTTCTTACCTCAGATTAAAATAAACTTAAAGGTGCTACAAACTGTGCGTCAAAACAAAATACATGCTCAAGAAAGTTGAAAACCAAGATTTATTTTGAAATATGCTTTTTATCTCAACATGTATTTAGGTTCTTGTTTGTGCCCTCAGTAAATTAATGCCCAAATACAAAATAATCTGCAAGGTATACAGTATATACCAGATTTACACCATCTTTTCTGTGTATATAAACTCTTTCCATGGTCTTGTGTTGTGCCTTTTCCATAGCAAGTTCAGCTGACAGTTGCATAGTAAAGGTTTAAGGTGATTAAATTATTTTGAAGTTTAGGATTATATCTACTGATTTTTTTAACCCATTAGTTTTATCTGGAAGACGGTGTGTCCTTCAGTCTACAGATGGAAATCTTTTTTTAATTTGAGGGAAGTACTTTCTTAAGTTTGTCTTTTTTTTTCTCATTTTCCCCCCTCTGGCAGTTTTTCATGGGTTGGCTCTGTTCTCTAGCTGTCATAATCATTTCACATGTCCTTGTACACTTTTCTTTTGCAGAGTTTCTTAAGTTAGGCCTTTCCATCACCGGTTTGATTTTTTGTAATATTTGTTATGTTCTTTACTGCTCACAGGGGCATCCCTGGTGGCTCAACGGTAAAGAATCTGCCTGCTATGTGGGAGACTGGGGTTCATTCCCTGGGTTGGGAAGTTTCCCCTGGAGAAGGGAATGGAAACCCACTCCTATAGTCTTGCCTGGAGAAACCCACGGACAGAGGAGCCTAGCAAAGAGTCATACACAACTGAGTGACTAACACTTGCTCTGCTTACAATTTGAATTTTAAATTTTCTTTTATGTTTTTATCTAATTCATAGTCTTTTTTTAATCCCAGTTTCCATATGGTGCTTTTTTCCCCCCATAA